GTTGTTTACGGTACCATCATGCTAGTAGATTCTAAGTAGAACACTAATACGTATGAATAAGTACGTTGAGGACTGGCCGAACTATATTTGATGCGAGAGTGTTCGGCATTATCCGGAGAGCTTGATTTTGATTGTTTAAAGGTGCTGGCCTTTTAGATTGAGTCGGTCTCCCTGTAACTGCAAGTTGCAAAATAAGTTCCTTAGTCTATTTCATTCAGGTGGAGCTCGTTCTTCATTCACTAGAAATCTTTATTTAAGAAGCTTTGGACATTGATTTATAATTGCAAAGTATATATTGCATATCGTATAATGCCTGATAAAGCAGATGAATCACAGAAGGCCCGTCTTGCAATTCTAGGCGGATAACAGCACTTGATATTGCTAAATAAGTTCGCCCTCAAAGAGCCACTTGTCTTTTGTCCGTATAAAAATACCGCATGTATCTTTTTGTCAGATAACATCATTTCTTGTTTCGTGAATCTCTCCACTTTCTCGCATTAATAAAATTATTGGTGTTCTTACAGCTCAAAACTTCGGGAAAATGGTGCGCATGAACGTACTCTCCGATGCCCTTAACAGTATCAACAACGCAGAGAAGCGTGGAAAGCGACAGGTTCTCATTCGACCTGCCTCCAAGGTATGTCATCTTGTCTTTGTGTTCTGTCAAATATTGTTACTATTTGCTGCGTTGTATTTCACTTTTTTAGAAAACGTGTGAGCCTCGGTCCGAAGGGACCAAGGCTCTTCAGGACTATATCTAGTTCACTTATTTGAAAAATTTTAAAGTATGTTTTGACTAAAAGTGGGCTAATATCAGTCTTGGAGACACCCTTGGTTCATCTGCAATTCATATTGCTGATGTCCAATGGAATGTTCATTCATTCACCAACAGACAGTATGTGCGGGTACGTTGAAGGTTACAGTCAGGTTTACCTTCAACAAAGCTAAAATTGTTGATTGTATTGATGTTAGAAAGCGAGATATCATCTTTGCGTTTTTCGAAAAACTTCCTGTAGGGTATATATTATGGAGTTGCTGTTAGCGTTTCTAATATTTTTAAACCCAAGAATTCTTGAATTTGAAATTTCGGTTCCTCTTGTGTAGCTTGTAGACATGTTTTTGTAGCACATCCAACTACCCCTGCATTACAAGGTAAGTGGGCTTGGTCCTGAAGCGACTTTGATCGATTGGAAAAGCGCTATGGTTTATTAAGGGAATTTTTATCTAATTACCCACTTTTGCAATTTCTTGGCGCAATGTGAGTATCAAATTCAAAAAGCTCTATAGCTGTGAATTAAAATTCAAGCATAGCGGTCTCTGTCAAGCGGTTTTTTCTCTGAAATTTGGCAGAGAAGTCATGACACATGATATTCTAATAAACTTCAATTTGACCTTACAGGTTATTGTCCGATTTTTGACTGTGATGATGCGACACGGATATATCGGAGAGTTTGAAATTGTCGATGATCACCGTGCTGGCAAGATCGTCGTGAATCTCAATGGCCGACTCAACAAGTGCTCTGTTATTTCCCCGCGATTTGACATCAAGATTAAGGTTT